CATATCAAGCAACAATTAACTCACTGAGGTCAATATCTAATTCAAGAAGTGGGTTCAGCTTGCCCACTAGACCAATTGATGTTTCAATTAATTCGATTTCTTTTTTCTCAGTTGTTTTCAATAACTTTAGTTGTAACTCACTTGTTCAACACTGGTGGACAGGGTTAATTACTTAATTAACCACGTTGGCAGTAGTTTGCAATGTTGAGATAGCAGCTACATACAGTTGCTTAAACATGAAAATAGCTATCAAAATTGACAAATGCATCTTGTTATTGGACAAAGGGACACTTAAAGTATTTGTACCAATTCAAACATTATTCCACAAGTCACCATTTAGTGATAATGCAGTAATGTAGCTTAGAAATTTTATCAGAAATGTAAAGCAGCAATAATGAACAGCAATTTTTATATGACACAATAGGGCTAGAGTATATACAATGTCTACCTATGAATTAGAGCTTTCCTTATTTCACAAGTAATAAAAATAAACAAGAAAGGGAGCCTACTATCACTACCTCGAGGCCACGCCCACTTCTTTTCCATTGCTTTGCATGGTAAAAAATAGTCTGTGCCCGCCCCTTTGTTGAGGGAGGGAAGGGTCTGGTGACACTGTTACAGAATTTTTTGCAACTTATTTCATGTGTGCATTGATGCAAAACGCGTGATAGCATGACAGTCTCGTGATGATGCATCCAAAAATTACGTTTTGGCATGTGCTTACAAGCATGGCGATGACTGAATGTCTGGTGTGTCAGAAACACATGCAAAGAGTGCTTCAGAAGTGCCATGAAGAGCCTCTATTGACAGAGACATTTTGTTGCAAAATGGTAACAGAAATAAAGATATGGGAAGATTTTGAGATGTATCCATTGGCTTGTAGGTCAGGATGTCATCCATAATGAAAAAGTGCAGCTAGGGTTACAAAAGACTTAATAAACTGTGAAGAGCAAATTGAAAGAGATATTGGGCAGTTTTTTGAGAGACAGGGTTAATTGTTTGTTGTTTGTTGATGCTTCACCTTCAGTAACTTCACTGTCTACACCCAGTAGCAACAGTTCTGCTCCAAGTAGGTTGCTATTTTCTATGATAACTCCATTGCGAACTACATGTAGGTCAA